GTCAGGTTCTCGTCAGAAGTAAATGCTTTGGACAAGAACCCTAATTGTTCTCCTGCTTAGTGACTGGACACCCTGGAAGCACCCGTCCATCAAACTCAAATGCATACACAACCAAAAATTAATTCCATACTGCATCGGTCGCCACGCAGGATAATCAGGACCGCGCTGCCCATTGCATCGAGCTGGGTGGGAAATGAAAAGTGGGCTGCTGCTCAGATATCCCAACCTTTGTTTAATTCTTTATCTTCCGTACCCAACCCTCTCCGTTTACCCCTTCTTCCAACCCGGAACATTCCCTCAGACAACTTGTTCGTCACTCGCCAAAGTTCGTTGCCAAGCAGCTCGGTAAGTAGTTTACCACAAAATAGATTGCATATTCTGAAGCCTCGTCAGCCACTGAATCTGGGGACTCTGATGCAGGTAGGTGAACAAGCATGTCTGGCGCACAATGGACTCTGGGAATGGATGTCTGCTGTGTGTCGGAGACTCGAATCCAGAATCCTAGTACTAAATGCCACTGAAGTGCATCGGGGTTGTCTTCAAGGTTCTTCCTCCGCAAGTCAGGTGATGACGAAGCCCGTTCAGTAGGCGAGCGTGGTGTGGGCATTGTACTGAATAATACAGCCGAAGCCGCACTACTCGATTGGATCCCCGTCAACAGCCGCTGCTGTGCGATGCGGCTCCAGGGATCTATCAACATCCGGAAGGGAAGCAACACCAAAAGGTGTTGATCCATCATTTCAGCGTATGCTCCGACCAACTGCAGTTCTAACACACTAAAGGACGAGCTTTATGATAAACTCACCAAACTCATTCGGTTGAGCCGAAACTCCGATATAGTTGTTCTCTCAGGTGATTTTGACGCTCAAGTTGGAAAACTGAGCGCATCGAAAACTTGCCTAGGCAGTCTTTGTGCTCTGCCCTGCCAGCGAACAGATAATGGCGATCAACTTCTTCAGTTCTGCACAGATCATTATCTGTTCCTATCCAGCACCAACTTTCGACACAGCTCTCAACGGACAGCAACGTGGCGCTCAAATTCAACTGACACCCTAACTCAGATCGACCACATAGCAGTAAGCTACCGTTGGTGTGGCTCAGTACAAAACTGCAGGTCTTATTGGACCACCTGCATTGAATCTGATCATGCGTTAGTTTTGATGCAGTTCACTCTCCAACTCACTGGTCGCAGAAAATTCCACCAAACTCGACTGGCAGCTCATCGCTTATCTGACCCAGCCATTCGTGCCCGTTTTGAATCAAAACTGGGGCAAGAGCTAAATGCACTGCGGGTGGTAGTGTAAATGAACAATGAAATCAGATTAGCCCAGCAATGCACTCCGCAGCGAAGGTTGCTTGTGGATCTGAAGCGGTAGCCCGCCCGAGGCATTGGATATCTGATGAGTCAGTAGCACTGATGGAGAAAAAGCGGCAAATTCCAACCACCCGGGATCAAGGCTGGGTTAGGTGGTGTCTTCAACGTCATCTCACGAGGAGCCTCAAGAAAGACCGTGATAACTGGTGGGCAATGATAGATAGTGAAACGGAAGTAGCAGCTGCATCAGGGAATAGTCAGAGACCGTTCCAACTGATACGCAATACGGGAGGTCGGCGAACCACAGTTACTGAAACAATCTGCGACAAAGTGGACAAGCTATTCACAATAGGGAACAACGGCTTGGCCGATAGGAGGAGTACTTCAAAGAACAGTTCAGCTGGTCGGGCGCTAACCAAGTTATCTCCTCCGATGTAGCTGAGGCTCCATAGGCAGTGTCATCTGAGTCTCCTACTGCAGGAGAAGTTCGTTCTTGCATCCAAGCTTTAAAAAAGGAAAAAAATAGCAGGGCCAGACGGGCTTCCTCCAACTGTTTTCAAGATGGGGAGCGATGACCTTGTAGACTCCACTACTGATTTAATGCGTGACATCTGGATACAAGAGCGCATTCCATCAACCTGGAGCGAACCACTGATTGTTTCAATTTTCAAGGAAGGATCTCGCAATGATTGCGCAAGCCACCGTGGAATAAGTTTTATCCCAACCGTCACCAGGTTACTAGCCTCCATTATACTTCGACGTCTGACGCCGTTTGGGGAGACAAACATCCGCGAACAAGAAGTAGGATTTCGACCAGGTCGCGGTTGTATCGATCAAATCTTCACTCTGCGCCAAGTCCTCAAACTACGTTATATGCAACGTCGATCGACAGTTGTCGTGTTCCTTGACCGAAAAGGAGCCTTCGACTCAGCTGATCGTGAATCCCTTATGGATTCATTCCTTCGCAAAGGAATGCTGCAGAAGTATGTGAACATACTGAGTTCACTCTACTCACATACCTCTGGTAGCGTAAGGGTCTACGGCGAGCTGAGTAGGCCGTTCGTAACTAGCAGCGGTGTTCGTCAAGGGTGCCCTCTTTCGCCATTCCTGTTCAATTTCGCCAGACGAAATACTGGAGAACACACCAAGTGGTCTCCAAAATGTAGGTATTGAATGAGCAGCTAGAGAAAAGCTGTGAGATTTGGAGTACGCTGACGACACCGTTTTCTTGTTCGGATGTATGTAGGATACACAAACGGCACTTGACAGACTAGCAAGTTCTGTTGCTCCGTTCGGCATGTGCTTTGAACCTTCATAGTGATGCTACAAGACTGGGTGTCGCCGAGTTTTGTTCTGAAACTATACGGTCAGGAATTAGCTGAAGTTGACTGCTTCTCGTATACTGTGTGACCTGATTTACCCACTACGGTCCGATGGCATTGGAGAAGGATGTTGACTTGGATGCAAAGATCCGCGAAATCACACTGAAGGCTAAACTGTGCTACTTTAACTACTTTTGCCTCAAAACAAAATCCACTATTCTTCTCACTTTCCGAAATGACTAACTTTTATTGGTCCACAAAAACGCACAAATTCATGAAGAGATTGTTTGCAGGTAAAAACTGGATACAGGGGAAGTCTTCGCAACTGACACTCGCCAAAACTCATTCCGTCCTATCCACAGTCAATCTATTTCAGTGTGCGCATAAAGCATGAGGCAACCCTAAACGACGGACCAATAATCGATGCGCCAGCAAACAAAATACCAAAATCCCACGTGACAATAGATCTGCTAGATCTCCCACAAGATGTTTCGGTCACAGCTCCGTTTTTTCTAAGCCCCACTGATTTGTGAGTCGGAATTTTAATTCAGAAGAGCCGGTTAGGGTTACAACATAAAAACTCAAAATCTTCCGATTTTTTGAGGTCCAGAATTTCGAATCAAATACTACGTTCAGCTTCCCACATAAAGTCCAATAGCCAGTAAGGGCTACTTTGAAGTACACTGTGCCAAAAAATCTAAGGCACACATTTTGAAAGCCCTGGCTCTTTCTTTCAGGTTTCCTTCTATCAAGGTAGAAAAACTAGAACTTGCCTGGTAAGATAGGCAAATATGAAACCATCAATTTGATTAAAACAAGGTCTCTTCTTCAATTTGTTACATTTAATACCCGAAAAAATCAACCAATCCCCTTACCTAACTAGAACCTTTGAAATCTTACTTGTAAACGTATTTCTAAAATTTCTAAAATCCATATACAGAACCCAACTTCAATTATCACACTGCCGTTTGAATCTGCATCCTCCCGTCTCCATGTGTCAGGCTTTGGGCATTCGGATTTAATGGTTTTGCATACGTCAGGGTTGTGCCATGTGTCAGGAATAAATGCTAGCTTCTCGATTGGATCCCAATCAGTAGTCAACTGTGCTCAATACAGCTTGATCGGTTTGTACGCATCAACAGCAACAAAACAAAACATCAGTACCTACTCGTGCTCGTGCATGTGTCAACTGACTTCAGCTAGTCAGAAATCGACTATATCATCCACAGAAGCCTTCCCTAGAAGAGTAACATGTAATCCAATCCAATCGGTTGGACCAAGGAAACACACAATTCAACTTTTCGCAGACCGTGAACCCATTTCTCACATACAAAAAGCAACACTATTTTACATGGAAGTCTGAACACTCTTGTTAGCAAGTAATTCAAATTGACCTCATTGTTATCGCTGATGTGTATATCTAAAAGACTGTCATTGCTATTGATCTGTCTTTTAATACGAGACAGATTCGGACTTCGTCTGATAATCCACTCGTCAATACGGGATCCAAGCACCATGATTTAAGCAAACACTGTGAATTGACTTTCGAAGTGAAGCTCTATCTCATCCCTCTTAGTTTAACCATTTAATAAAGAACAAAAAAACCTTGAAACATAGTTAAAGAAGATATTCAGTCTTCTCTAAGAAACATGACGAACACAAGTGGATAACTAGATCACTTGGGATGTATTTCTTCCACTTTTGTTACTCTTTTGTAAACCCGCAGAATCAATTCGTCGGGTGTCACTTATAACTCTACACCCAAATTTCTCAAATGATAATTCATCAATGGCTTGAAGAATGACTCTATCAGAGAGAAAAAGCTGCGACTATCGTTAATCATTTTTGTCTAATCATGGATACTGCACCCCGGGAATCGAAGTGTAATTGATGCATTTCAAGAATTCGATGGTGTACAGTACGTCAACATAAGAATAGAGTTTATGTGAAAAGAATGAGAAGAAAAGGCTCGCGGAGAGCAACAACGACATGTTTTAGGTTGATTTTTTGCGAATTTGCCTTTACCAAACCTTTGTAATGTTTTTATATCAATTAGAAATGAAACAATGAATGCAACATATTTTCAATGTGTGAGAAAGCTATCTACATGTAGTGCAAAGGAACAGTGAAGTGGAAAGCTAAGTAGCACTGGACTGCTGGGCTGACCCTGTTCGGTCTCATCCACGGTAGAAATGCATTGAACTAACTATAGCGGTCGAACCTGCCAGCCCACAGGTAGCTGATAAGTGCAATAATCACTTAATCACTGGACAGATGATCAGTTCGTTGCACTCCTAAGATACGCGACACAGCACAAGGAAGCTGCTTTCAAGCCTCTTACTTCGCTCATTTTGGCTTCCCAGTAATTGGTTAACCTAATACCTGCTTAATTCCGGGGCTCGATCCCTAGTTGGATCGATGGCTTCACACTGCTGATTAAACTTATTCAAAGGGAACAGATCGTACAGTGTGGCCGAGTTTATCATCAGTTTTGCTTTGTTTTCTTTATGGGGCATGGGATTTCATCGGCTATATTGTGCAACGTGAACACCTCGGCGACTCTAACCAACGATACTTCTCGTCGGCTGGGTCCACTAGAAAAGCAGGAAGTGCAAATGTTAGCGAGTGCTGACCCTAACTCTAGGTCAAGTCATGGTCACGTTGCATCGTTCAATCGTGACCAGCACTTGTTAATAACACTCCGTACTTCGTATCCACCGGGAACATCACCATGTCGAATAGCCATATATAATTGTATTATGGTAGGTTTACCCGAGAGACATGATTTTGTTTCTCACAAACTTTTCTTTTAACCGCACGAAGTTGCCTCTTTGTTAAAGTTGGTCAGTAAAATCACTCTAACTTTCTCGCTTTGTTGTTCCTTGTACTCACCTTTCCTTTTATTTTGGAGTGCTAAACTTCAGATCATCATACCTACTCGTATAGCTTCGTTTCTACATCTGCTGGATACAGTGCTCAAGGATAAATTGTTCTGTGTTCATTGTTTTGCATCTAGGATTCCCACCAGGCGTAGTGAATATTCTACCTGGATACGATAAGACTACTGGCGCCGCTTTGTGTCTGCATCCGGATGTTCGAGTTATCTCATTCGCCGGGAGTACGGAATTCGGTCAATTCGTTATGAATGCAGCAGCGTCTAATGTAAAACAAGTAAAGTTGGAATCTGGTGGAAACTCTCCGCTCATCATTTTTGCTGATGCCGACTGTAAGTTGTGAAGTAGCTCACTCCTTCAAGTGTTTGATAGTCATCTGTTACAATATTACCTATTTTGACCACTTTTTTATCCGTAGGTGTTTTCGTAGCCTCAATGAAGACCTGGTGCTAGTTTTTACATACTACAAAGACAGCAAAAACAATTGTCAATGGGTAATCGCAGACTCACACAGGCTTGAATGAAAGCATTGGTTAGTGGATTATGAAAGGTGATTCAATTTTCGGTCTATGATGGAGTGACATTTACAAAACAAACGAAAGAGTATAGAACGAACAAATCATTCGTGTTTAGTTCCCAGTTGATTAGATCGAATACTATTTCATCTTGACAGCTTCATTCTCTATCCTCGTTATTTCATGTAACAGGGTGGTCCTGCGTTTTAAATGTTAAACGGGTGAGTAAATTGTCTCAAATCCTGTGACGAGATACGTGAACTATGACAGCAGAATCTTGAATCCTGTCATATCGTTGTGTGACTACTTATGAATAGTATGATGACGTAATTGTAAAATTAAAAAGAATTTCAACTTTCTCGGGCCTGTCAAAAGCTAAAATTCAGATTCGGCTATCATTGCAAAGTGATCTTAACGTTGAGATAAACTTCTCAGGCACACCCTCGGAGAGAGCCATATCCGGAGTACACAGCGGTCGACTGAGTTGAAGGCCATTTTAAATTCCAGAGAGATAAAAATGGTGGGTTTACGAAAAAATGTGTGATCTAGAATTAGACGAAAATTGAAAATAGGGTTGATACAACCTCGACCCGGTCTAAAACCAGTCTGATTCTTACCCTACACGTTCGGCGCACAATCGACAGACCATTTATTGCCTGGACCAATAGCTTTTGCAACAACGTCAAAAAATAACCTTTTTATTAGTAATGACTTGATATCTCACCTACATTTCCCTGTTTACCAAGATACTTGATAAACTAAAGGACCCTTAGATATGAATTATACAGTCATTAGCCTCAATCTCAGAGATAGAAGTTTGACCCGGCT